TGGCCTGTAAGGTTTCTGTTGAGAAGTCTGATGAGAGCCCAATAGGTTTTCCTTTGTATGTAATCTTTTTTCTCTCTCCAGCTGCTTTCAAAAGTCTGTCCATATCCTTGATCTTTGTCACTTTAATTATTATATGTCCTGGTGTGGTCTTCCTTGGGTCCCTTGTGTTGGGAGGTCTGTGCCCCTCCATGGCCTGAGAAACTATCTCCTTCCCCAGATAGGGGAGGTTTGCAGCAATTAGCTCCTCAAAGATACTTTCTATCCCTTTTTCTCTCTCTTCTGCTTCTGGTACCCCTATAATATGAATATTGTTCCATTTGGATTGGTTACACAGTTCTCTTAATATTCTTTCATTCCTAGAGATACTTTTTTCTGTCCGTGTGCCAGCTTCTTTGTATTCCTGTTCTCTAATTTCTAATTCATTTATCATCTACTCCACCATATCTAATATGCTTTCAATTCCCTCTGTTCTTTTCTGTAATGATTAGATCACTGTCCTTAATTTGTTCCTGAGTTCTTGAATATTTTTCTATACCTCCATGAGCATGCTTTCAATTCCCTCTGTTCTTTTCTGTAATGATTAGATCACTGTCCTTAATTTGTTCCTGAGTTCGTGAATATTTTTCTATACCTCCATGAGCATGTTTATGATATTTATTTTGCAATTTCTTTCAGGAAGATTTATGAGTTCAGTTTCACGTGACCCTTTTTCTGCTGTTTGTGGGATTTTGGATTGAACCAGGTTCCTTTGACATTTCATATTTGTAAGCGATGCCCTCTAGTGCCCAGAATCTCTACTCTCTGGAGCTGCTAAGTCCCCAGAGCAATGTCAGGAGTCCCAGTGGAGTGGTGCTGGTGCCTGGAGGGAGGAAAGAGCTGTTTCCTGCTTCCCAGCTGCTATGCCTGTCTCCGCTGCCAGAACCAGCAGGCATTACACACACGTGTAAGCCTCTATGTTTTGTGTTTGTAGCTGCCATAGGCTGGGCTTCCCTCTGGCTGGCCTGACACCAGGTCAGGGACTGCCAGTTTGCAAGCCAGGTGCCGACTGGCTGGGAGGAAAGTGCAACTGGTTGCATATCAAGGTGGGGGGCCTTGGATCTACATAGCCAGCCAGGGGGATGGAGTACCTGAAACTCCTGAAAGTTCCCAATCTGCTAGTCAGAGTGTGCCTGGACAATTTTGCCTGCCTGTCCTTTCTTCTGAGCAGTAAGCTCTGTGCAGTCTTTGCCCCTCTAGCACCCCTCTCGCTGTTAGGAAATGTCTCAGGCTGCCCACCTTTCTTTTGCCCCAGAGCAGCTGGATATGGATCCCTGTTTTCCACAAGCAGCTGGAATCTCAGTCTCTCCAGGTATTCTTCCTCTCTTAGGTTTCCATCCCCTCTAATCACCAGAGCACCATGCAATGTAGGTTCATGCTCCTACAGCAGGTCTCCAGGGCTAGATGTTCATTAGTCCCAGGCCTCCACTCCCTCCCTGCTCTGTTTCTCTTCCTCCTGCTGGTGAGCTGGGGTGGGGGAAGTGCTTGTGTCCTGCCAGGTCACAGCTTTGGTACATTACCCTTTCCTGTGAGGTCTGTTCTTTTCTGCAGGTGTATATGGTCTGGAGCAGCCTTCTTTCCTGTTGCTATTTCAGGATTAGTTGTATTAATTATATTTTTATATTATGTGTGGTTTGGGGAGGAGGCCTCTGTCTCACCTCTCATGCCCCATCTTTAATCTCTCTCAAATACCATGTTTTTTTAATTTCATTCCTTGCCAGTTTTTTTAGTGTGTTAGGAATAGATTATCTGTGAAACACTTGTGTGGGATCTCAGCACTGCAGCAGTTGGAGACCCAGAAGTTCAGAACCTCCCTTACACTCTCAGGTTCTTTCTGCTTATCCTGCCTACCGCGAGTCTGTCCTATGATCTTGTGTGGCATTCTGATCTAAGGCCTTAACCTGGGCCCTGCTGTACTTGTGTGTATGCCTTTTAACACACGGGAATATTTCTGAAAGCACTCTCCATGGCCTACCAGCACCAGAATTAGCTGTGGTGTATACTAAAATGCTGGCTCATGAGCCTCATTCCAGAGGTTCTCAAGAATCCAATCATTATCAAGCTCTTGCCAGACATACTTTATACACTTAATTTTGGGAATCCCTGAGAAATGCTAGAACAAGGTACATCTCCAATGTTAGCAGAGAAAGCCCAGATGTAGCATCTTTGTTCACTGGCCTCTTTCAAAATACAAACTTAAGACTTTAGCAGTGTCCTCCTTGAGCACTGTGGTCACCACCTTCACCCAGTGTTTGCCTCCTATGGCATCTAGTTTTATATCCTGGAGACTTCTGTGTTTCTCTTCACATTTCCTTCTAAAGCTTTTACTCTTATTAGTAGTAACTTGTGTAAATAAAAAATTTCAGGAGATACTTACACAGAGCAATATAGTATATGAAAGGTGGCATTTCAAATCAACTAAAGGATGCATCATTCATGTATTTATTCTGTTGAGATAGATAGCAGGACAGCTACTTGGAAAATTGAGAATTTATAACATTATTATGCAATATACCCAGTAAATTATAGAGGGATTATAGGTACTAGAATAAAACACATGTGATTGAGATCAATCATACAACATGAGAAGGATTGTCTACACATGAAACCAAAGCCTGAAAACACATAAAGATGATTTTATATGGCTACAACACAATTTAAAATAGATATTGCAATAAGATACCATGAACCAGGTTAGGTAAACAAAAATCATTTGTGAATAGGGGAAATATCTGGAACATTTATAGGAAATAAAATTTAAATTTATAATGTATCAAAGAATTTGTAAGTTAGTAAGTAAAAATATGAATACTCCATATGGAAAATAGGGACAGATTATGACAGGTAATAAATACATAAAGGAAGTAAAAGTGGCTATTTATTCTGTAAAGCCAAATGCAAATTAATACAAAATGTTCTAATTTACCATACAGCAAATTGGCAAAGATAAATGAGAATAAAGATACACAGTTGGTGTCTAAGATGCAAAGCTGCAGGTGATTCAAAGCACAGTTCTGGTGACAGCAGAAATGTGCATGATCTTTCTGGAGAAAAGTTGGGCAAAATATAACATGAGAATTAAAAAGATAATCATTTAGATCAGCTATCCCATCTCTAGAAATGTATCTTAAATAATTAAGATATGTACTAGGATTTGTTCTTCAAAGACGTTCATATCATCAATGTTAAAATTTGTGTAAAACTAGAAACAATATAAACATCCCCCAAAATAATAAAATTGATGCTTTCATATAATACAATAATTACAATCATTAAACCCTTTTTAATTTTTAATATAAGTTGAAATAAAAATGAATTCATTGTTCTTTTGAGGAGAAAAAGGAATTATAAAATACAATGTTCTGTAGTGTCCCACTTTAAAATAAAAAAATGTAATTCATAATATGATATCTAGCAGATCATGAATAAAGAAAAAATAAGAGTGGATGAGGGGAGTGGAGATAACTCCCTAATTGTCTGGTGTGTTTCTACATACTAATTTCTCTAGAGCTAGTTAATACACAACTTGTATAATGGAAATTATACTAATAATAATAACTCTGGGGAGACTAATAACCTCCCATCAATGAATCTGGCTTTTATATATGCAGGTATTTCTGATGTCAGCTTATTCTCGTTTGAAGTCCTATGCCATTAATTCTCAGCCACCCACCCAATGGATAGCTTGATGGCCAGAGTCCATTCCCCAGGCTAACCCTCTAGTCCTCTTAACAAGCTGCTGGCCATCGGATCAAACCAGGGGCCTGAGGATAGAGAGGGGTGAATGTGAGAGCAGCAGACTCTATGCAAGAATGCATATATCTTAGCATGTTTCAGATTTCATTTTATGCCAAATATTTCCCTTTTAAAATAAATAACCTTTTTTTTTACATTTATAGATTGTGTTATAGTTTACATATTTTTCACCATGCTTTATTCATTTGATTTTAGAGGTGGCATGATTTAATGGAAAGAGTACAAGCTCAAATATCAGAGCTGCCGTGATGTATAAAATTTACCTGAGTCTCAGTTTCATCTATAAAACAACAATAAATATAAGATTGCTGGGAAGGTTAAATGAAAGGCTATGTAAACTATTTAGGTCTGCAACAGATACATAATCCCTCAATAAACATTTACCATTATTTCATGAAGTCTTTTAAAATAGATAATTGCAATAATGCAATGAAGTAAACAGGAAAGAAACTGTCCTCATTTTAGAGATACGAAAATGGGTCCAGAAAAGTTGTTCAAAATCACAGAACAAAAATGGAAACTCGTGTCCAGAATTGAATTCACTGCTTCCTAAAATCTCTTAGAAATTGAAAGTAGAAAATCAAAGTATGTGAAGAGGAAGAAATAAATGCCAATTTCCAGATTTTTGTGTGTGTGCTGAATTGGAAAATGTTGTCAAACAATGGGTTTCTTCTACTTTATAAAAAGAGACTTTATGATAGGTTTTCTCATAACTCAAAAGGAATAAAAAAAGACTGTTTGAAATTTGCAATTCATAATATTAAGGGATGGGCAAGTAATGAATCAATGGCAACATTCCAACAGGAAAGGCTGCAACATAGTAGCAATCCTGGCCAAGAAATTCAAAAATTCAGCCATATGGAAAGACTATTAAGTCTCCTCCTCTGTACTGTTCCAGATCCTTAAAGACTAGTACAGTTATTTGAATTCAAGTTATTTTTGTTTATGTCTACTCTTTCCTTGCTTCTTTTCCTCTTATCTCAATAAAATATTTTGTGCTATTTAAATGATATATTATCTTATGAAAACAAATATACTGTTCATCTTTGTATTTATCACTGGCCTTATTCATTGTTAGCATTCCAAAAAAAAAAAAAAGAAATGTAGAATGAATGCATAACTGTTTAGCTTTGAGTGGATCAACCCGGTGCTAACTGCTTCATGAAATCCATTAACCTGTGTGTTTTCATGTGTCTTTTCTCTTATAGAAAGCAGAGATTGCTATTGCCCCTCTGACAATCACTTTGGTCCGAGAGGAGGTCATTGACTTCTCTAAGCCCTTCATGAGTTTGGGCATATCTATCATGATAAAAAAGCCTCAGAAATCCAAACCAGGAGTGTTTTCCTTCTTGGATCCTCTGGCCTATGAGATTTGGATGTGCATAGTCTTTGCCTACATTGGTGTCAGCGTGGTCTTGTTCCTAGTTAGCAGGTTTAGTCCGTATGAGTGGCACACGGAAGAGCCAGACGATGGAAAGGAGGGACCCAGCGACCAGCCTCCCAACGAGTTTGGCATCTTTAACAGCCTCTGGTTTTCCCTGGGTGCTTTCATGCAGCAAGGATGTGACATTTCACCCAGGTTAGTTTCAAAACTCTCAAGTTCCTCAGCAACTCCCCAGTAATCCTTAGGGTTGTGCAGAGCATCTTTTCTATGTGTTCTTTTCCTGGAGGCAGAGCACTACTTGGAACACAGAAAAATCTTGCAGTTCCCAAATTAACCTAAGTATATGCATAGCCAACTTCTCCAAGTTAGCACAAAACATAGATTCATCATAAAGACTAACTCTCCCAATGGAAGAGTAACATCTGCATCTCATCAGAATGCACAGAAAATCACTTAGTATTTATATTTCCTTCAGCGGTTTGACAGGTGGAAACTAAAACCCAAGTTGTAAAAATAGGAATTTATTTTCATTTTGTCTCCTTCTCAAAATCAGCTGTTTTTGTTACTGTCGCTGTTCATTTTAAAAATTAGTTTTGAACTCAGTTTACATCCCATGTAGCTTAAGGGAAATTTCTGCCGTTGAGTTACCTAAACCCTGGGTCAATACCACAGGTACCAGATGCGCATTGTTCTACATAACAATACATAAACAAGAAGCATCTGGCAGAGTCAGCAAGGTAAACACCTTATCAGTTTAACAGAGACGTTTTCCAGTATCTGTGGAGTCATGGCCCACTTCCTTTGGACTCTGCTAAGACATTTTTCAGTTGATGTTGGCCAAAAATGCAGCCAGTCTCCTGTTGAAAGAAAAATACCAAATTTGTCCCATAGCAAAAGTAGCTAAATAGGACAAGCTAAGAATTGAACTTAAATAGTGACTTATAGTTGCATCATAAGTATATGAATTCTTTGAAAGAAACGTATGCTTTCTTTAAAAAGATACATTGTAGCCACAGTACAGTTTGTGTTCCTTAAGACCCAGGAAGACTATACATGTGCCTATATTCAAATTCCAGTAACATAGGAATCTGAATCAATAACTCCCAATTAATGAAATGAAACAAAATCAAAGCAAATCAAGTAATGGTTTTTAAAGCCAGGATTAAGCAAATACTAAGTTAAAATCAACATGTGCTACTTTTGTAGCAATGGTTAAGAAGAAGCATTTAGAAATGCCATGGAAAATATGAAATTTTTCCTCACATTAAAAAAGTGTTTAAAAACGATTTGTCACAGGAGTTTTGAGTCTGATGGTCCCCAGTGAGAGAGATCAATTATGAAAAAGCTCTGCATGTTTTCTCCATCCTGTTCTCACTTTTCCTGTGCACTCACACTCACGCACACAGCCCTGATAGCCAGGGAAAGGGTGCAAAGGGAACTTTTTTTTAGGTTTAGCATCTGTTTTAATGCTGTCACACAGCATGTTGCGAGTCATACACTTTGGGTCTTGTTGGCAGTGGCAGAGAGAACGTTATTTATACTAGTATGTAAAGGTGCTTGAGGACATACATAGCTCATCCTCCACTCAGATCAAAAATGAAATAGCAAACAAACAAGCAAAAATCCTCCACTAAGGTCACTTTGAGACCAGTCCTAGATCTCCATCTGGCCCAGACCCCTCCATCACACGTCCCATCCATCCTAGCGGGGCTCTGGCTGCAGGAAATACAAGTTGTGTCAGAAAGACATCTACCAACTCGAGTCCAGTCTAAGACCTCACCCATGGTTGAGATTTATTGTAATTTTTATGTACCACCAAGAGAGAAACAACGCCACCAGTTAAACCATGGTACTCTTTCTATACATCATAGGCTAGATCCTGATTTCAGAGATGCTAGAATGTAAGAGGGGAAGACTGTCAATGAGTTTAAGTAGGCATTCCTCTTCTGCACCTGAAGGAAAGGCATTAAGCTCCCCACTGCTGCCGATTCAACAGTAAAAAAGACAAGTTTTCTATGTTTTCAGGGGCATTTATGTTTACATGCAGTATAGGGTAGAAGGCATTCATTTATACAGAAAGGCTAGATCATTCTGGAGTAGACAGAACATGGAAATCATACTTGACCCCTGTTATTTTAAATGCGAATCGTGAATTGACGGCATTTCCTTCCTTGCTCTGCACCGGTCAGAAAGGGCAGTGAGCCTCACCGTGTCCGTGTTCAGGTCCCTCTCAGGTCGCATCGTCGGAGGCGTGTGGTGGTTCTTCACTCTCATCATCATATCGTCTTACACTGCAAACCTTGCTGCTTTTCTGACGGTTGAGCGGATGGTCTCTCCCATAGAAAGTGCCGAAGACCTGGCCAAGCAAACAGAAATTGCCTATGGAACTCTGGATTCAGGGTCAACGAAAGAATTCTTCAGAGTAAGTTAAAGGAACAACTAACAAACGTTTATGATTTTGACACTTAGGCAGTTTTGCCAACAATCCTATTAGGGGCTCTAGCTATTGCAGATTTTGCAGACACAATGTTAACTGCTATGTTTAATGTGAATACGCCTACTTGGATTTTATCTTATCACTTTAATTTGCAAAAACTGATCAGTTTATTCACATTGTGAGAGAACTTCCCTAGGGAAAAGGAACAACAGGAAGGTAATTAAAACAACTTTACAACATAATTTACCCCCAAAACTCCAATGTTGATAATGCTATGATACGGTATCTGGCAAGACTAGATGTATGTATTGGGCTAAGAGCGTCAATTAAGCCCTCTTTTTTAAAGACTACATTTGACATTCTGTATTTGAAACCCAAAACATTAACTCCAGATTGTATTACCTAGATGAGTTATATTATTCTATAAAATATTCCATAACAATGAACTTCAATGCAATATATCACCTTCTTACAAGATAATGGTAGCAAGAACTATTATGTTCTGCACCTTTGTAAGTAAGGCATTTATGGTATTTTGTGCTGATTTCTCTGCTTTTGCAGATAAAACTGTGCAAAATGATATAATTGCATTTCACATATGGATATGATCCCTTTGGCTTGCCATCAGGATGGCAGGTATTTGGAGGATATTTTTTGTTTGTTTTCTTTTTAATTGTTCCATACGAGGATAACTTTTTGATCAGTGACTTTCTTTTACTCTGGTTCTGTGTAAACCCAGACATGTACACTTGGTAATGTCTGATCAGAGACAAGGGTTCACTTGTGATTTCAGAACCAAAAAAAAAAATTTTTTAAATAGTCCAAAAGACATTTTCATAAATATTTAACTAGGTAATAATGAAGACATGTTATGTTTAATTGCTTGAAGACTAGATATTTAATTGTTTTGAAGACAGGTATATTTCACAATTCCCTAAGATTTTGTGTAAAAATAATGATAGCCCTTTAAAGTAAGTTCATGCTTATATATTAACTTGGAGATTCCATTTTCATTTTAAGTATCATTTTCTCACTCAGCTTGAAAATTAAAAACAGGAAAATTTGCTACTTCTTAGGCTAGGCTTAACCTTCGTGTACTTGAATTTCAGTAAGATATTTCTCTTTTTAAAAAAGATTTGACTTTAACACCCTTTTATACTACAGATGTTTACATAATACTGAATCAAGAATAAAGCACTCAAAAATTCTGTCAAGCCCATCATTGGGCATTGTTTGACAAAGAAACCAGACAATGAACAATGTCCTTGTCAACAATTTGGAGCATTACTGGTAGATACAACATAAAATTCATAAGTAAATTAAATATTTGTATATTTTTCTAAAGTGTAATAATAAGTTATGACAATAGATTTTATTAATATCCTATGGATAAACTTAATTGACCAAATTTTTAAAACTTAGTACACCCCAGTCTTTAAAGCTTAATAATAGAAAGATACTGCTGTAATACATTTCAGCATTATTTCAGTACCTTGCTGGAAATCTGAAAATTTGTAACTGCTTCCACCCAAAAGTAAGCAAAATTTAGCCTAGAAACCATTACATATATGCATCAAAATAGAATACAAGTTTGTGCTATCACTTGCATTTTACTGAAAAATGATGACTGATTTTTTTTTCAGGTAAATAAGCAAATATTTTCAGGCTCATCATTCTACCTCAGGTGATCAAGGGAAAGCAATGTCATGTTGATTCTCTGAAAAAAAAATTTGAAAGTAACTTCACTGTAAAGCTCTTTGGCATCAAGCACTCTGAAAATGTTTACTTCTAATCTTTTAAGAGTTTTTTTAAATGGTTCAGGTTCTAAAAACTGGTGAGGTAGTAACAGAATATATTGGTAAGCAGTACAGGCACAAGAGAAGCTGCTTGCTAGACTCACAGAGCCTCCCCTACAACCTGTGCCATCAGCACACCGTTTCCTTTCTCTCCGAGCCCCGTCAGTTTTAAAATTGAAAGATTTTTGTAAGTATAGGTATTTATTGTTGCAGAACAGTCTGACCTCTAATGGGATAAGCAAATTTTCCCTGGCAGCACACTTTCAGGAATGCCTAAATTTGGGTTCTCTGACAAAAGTCTCATTGCTTTTCTCCACCGTGTTCTCCCTCCTCGCCCATAGATGATGACCTGGTTTAAATAAACCATTTGTCTGATGGGTTGAGGAAACAGAACGTGAAGGGTATTTTTGTACTTGTCAAAAATGTTTTCTCAAAGGAACACAGTAATGGTATATCTATCAGCTCCACTAAACTGCCTCAGGCAGTGACCTGTACTCAGCACTTAAAAAAATGTCTCTTATCATCAACTGGAAAAAGAACTGGGCCATAGGGGAAAATTACATCCGAATTCAACTGTTGCCTTGTTTTCCCCCTGAAACTTATGTTTCCTATCTGTACATCTTGTTAAGCATAAACAAAGAGGCATTTAAAGAAAGTTTGTGCATGTCACTTAATGACAGCCTGTTTAGGTACTTTCATATTATTATAATCCTGATTTGAACATAACTGATTTTCATTTCAGTGCAGATTTTATCCTGTGCCTGTTTCAGTCATCAGTGAAATCATGAATGCATGAATAAGTTGGATTACTATCTCGGAGCTTACAGTATTACCAAATAGTGCATTGATGAGCTCTTATTAGAACATCAGTCTTGCTGTATAAGCTACTAGAAGTGGGAACTAAGTCACCTGATAACAATGAAAATATTACTATAATGCATGACATGTGTACATGTTTACTATTAAAAGCAGAAGTAGCAGAATAGTTCATTTTTCAGAAATTAAAAGGACAGCACATTTTTAAAACTCCAAAAATTATTTTAAATTAATAATACAGTGCTTTAAGTCAGATAATTTCCCATACATTGAGTTTCACAATAAAGATGGAACAAATCTGACATTAATTTTAATTAATAACTTTTATGTTATCTTTGTTAACTACCTTGAGCACATTCACTCCCCAAACCTGATCTTTAAGTAGGTATCACAGTTGAACATTTTAAGGACTTAAAAATCGCATTATTACTAAATTTCTGAGCTTGCTGGGTCTGCAGAAACATCCTCATTTTAGCCTCTTTCACCACATTGTAAAGATTTGCTTGTCCTCATTCCTTAACAAACACCGTCTTGCAGTCACAGATAAGGCACAGGGATGTTACTCCCCGTCCTTGACCCCAGCCACGCTTTCCACCCTTTCACCATGTGGCTGTCATCTTATCTAAGTCATAACTCTTTAAATCAGAATAAGAATTTCTAAACATTAAAGGAGTGACAAACTGTGTAAATTTTTCCCCTAAAAAATTGTTTTCATCACTCCTTTATTTTCCACTGGGAATCGGTATCTTACAATTTCTACTTACCGAAGGCCTGCTCAGTATAGCACAACTATCCTATAGATTTCTCTTTCTTCTGAATTTTAAAGGAATTAATTTAACTTCTTTTGCACTTAAGGTATATGTAATTCAATATATTGAAACAAATATAGAAATAATAATGAACTTCTAAAAAATATCAGTGCTCTAAAGATACTTTATTCCTTTAAAAAGGATTCATTTGTTTGAATATTATTTTGCATCCTATAGTTAAATTATCTTCATAATTACCCAGCCCTAAAAATTAATTTCTTCCATTTTGCTATGTTAGTTTTGTTTAACTGTCCTCTGTTCCTTTAATAAGATAATGAATAGTAAATGGAAAATTGCCAAGTAACTAGCATGATCCTTACTCTTAAAAAAACTCAGCAAAATTTTCAATGAAAGTAACACTCAGATTTTATTGCTTCTGTTGTCAACAGGATACATAATGAAGCACACAGTGCATGTGGATCTCTATACTTTTTGGGTGAAACTCAAATCATCAGTATATTTTCAAAGTTGATTTTATGCCTAAAGGTTGCTGTTTACCAACACGTCACTAAAATGAAATTATCAGAATAGATATTTAAGGGTGATCTGTATCAAGTGATCCAGGGACTTCATAATTTTCACAAATTGGAACTCATCATAAAATGGAAGAGTTCTCTGGAAGACAGCTTTATTTTTAGGGATAGTAGAGATGGAATGAATGAGAAGGCCAAGCAGCCTTTCTTGTGGGTCCCACAGTTGAGGGTTATGAATCCAAACACTCCTCTGTCCTGGAATCACATAAAATCTTTGCCACTGAATTGTGTTGGTATGGAATTTCCTAATGTGAGGACTTCTATAGCAAGAAGTAAGCTGTGATTACGTAAACATACACACATCACAATCTTTATATCATGAGATAGTTTAAAGTCCTAATAACATAAAAACATTTCAGAGGGCACTAAAAGATGTCTATTTCCCACCTTGATATTTACTATCATTTGAATATACATGTGAAATATCTGGGGTTGTTTTTGGTGTTTGAGTGTGCAAACCTCTTTACTGTGTGGTTTATTCTATAGGTTTATTGATCACTAAATTCCCATCTTATGAAACCAAAATTTTGAATACCATTTTTATCAGTTTCTTTCTTTGTTCACCTGAATGGACAAATTTGCTTTTGCTCAAAAACGTATATTCTTAAGTTTGATATTCAAGATATTTCTTGATTATTGAAGATCTTCTTGTTGGATTCTATATTCTGGTTAACAAAGGGAGGTCAATATAACTAAATACACATGCTACTCAGGATTTGGCCTCATGCATAGATATAAGTCTGAATGAAGTCTCCATTACTTTTAATTTGGATCCAGATGCAAAATTTCAGCATCTTGTTATTGACAAAATGCAATTGCACCAGATAAAAGTCTGTGTGTATCATCATCTTGTCAAACATCAAACAGGATTCAGTCTTTCCTGTCTTATTAAATATATCCTTTGGGGATATTGAGTTCGTTTGGATATATTTTCACATTTGAAATGGCTGTATGGATGAAAAAAATCTGATATGGATTGTAAATACCATCAAAAGGATCTGGGTAAGTTAAGTAGTAGGAGTAATGTAATAGAGACCAAATGGATAAAAATTAATGTTTCTTGCCTGAAGTCAGGGGAATAGAGAGAATAACTCTCCAAAATATAAAGCAGTAAAACAGAAATCACTTCTCTTTAAAGTTTAATGTGTGTTCTATTTGGGAATTGGTTAGAAAAAGTCTGAAAATGTTTAGGTGGGCCTAGAGTTTGATTCTTAGGGCTATTAATGGTTCTTATCCAAGTGTTAGGGAGATTTGGTTCTTAAATGACAATGATTCCTCTTTCTCCTTTAGTGCTGGACTACTGTCTTGGTGCAGACATTTTGTATATATCTTATTAGAATGGTTTTCATTAAAACTTTGAAGCATGAATAAAAGATAAAAATAAAACAATATAACAACTCTCCTTATAATTCTAGTACAGTATTAAAAGTTATTTTACGAAACTGAAATTAAATCTTATCAGCTCCTTTTCAAGTTTACCATGAATGTGATATAAAACATTGATTTAAAATGTTCAACTTGCTCTATGGCATTCTACATTTTAAAATATAATAAATTGTTCTTTAAGCAATTGAGTAACGTAATTATAACAAAAGGTACCAGCTTCTTCAAATATCACTTTTAAGCATCTGTCATTTTCAGTGATTTCCTTTAATAGTCATAAAGGTCAGTTTTCTAACCAGAAAAGAAAAATGTATTTATGGCAAATTGGAGTTAGAGGGCAATGGAAAGGAACTAAAAGACTTGATCCTTGTCTTGGTTTGGTCAATATTAATATTTTGTTCCTTTCTTTCCTGTATTTAATTTTATTTTAATTTCCTCCAGAGATCAAAAATAGCAGTGTATGAAAAGATGTGGACCTACATGAGATCAGCAGAGCCGTCAGTGTTCACTAGGACTACAGCTGAGGGAGTAGCTCGTGTCCGCAAATCCAAGGGCAAATTTGCCTTTCTCCTGGAGTCCACTATGAATGAATACATTGAGCAGCGAAAGCCGTGTGACACGATGAAAGTGGGAGGAAATCTGGATTCGAAAGGCTATGGAGTAGCAACGCCCAAGGGTTCCTCATTAAGGTGGGTGGAATAGTATAACAATATAACATGTGTTGTTATAGTATTCCACCTTCCCTGATGTCCCTGAGAGAATTATTTTGTTTTGTGTGTGAACATGGTATGTTTTTTTGTTTTCTTTTTCTCCATTTCATATTTTTTTTTGGTCAACAATCAGGTGATTTTTTTTAATTTTAGAATAATCAATCATAGTTGACATATATCTTTTAAGGCCATATAAAAACCAAACTGGTTGAACACTAGCTGCTTCCAGTGGGCCTAAAACATGGGTAGCATATGCTTCTATATCTCATCAACTTTTGTTGGTCACTAAAATCTACACTTTCATTGTGTCAGTAATAATTCTACATTTTATCATTATTTTTTAAAATTACGCCTGTGAGTTTCTGAGTAAGAAGAAATCAACCTCTTTCTAGCAAAACACTTTTTTTTCCCCATTTCAGCATTTCATTTTTTATGGTGTCATTATATTTTAGATTAACCTTAGGTTGTGCCGGTGCTAACCTTGTAATCATATCTATTTATAAATGGAATCATCATCAGAGGGAACCTGGGCTCTGATTTTATGGTGCTTACTCAAGTCACACTCTCACCTGTTGCAAAGGGAGTATGGTGTAAGTAAGATCTGTAAAATCAGACCCAATGATAACCCAAAGTGGTTCACACATAGACCCCCCAAATGTGATTCATGAGCAAAGCTTTACACATGTGGATGATAATTCACATGTGTTACAAGTGAGGCTTTCATTCTTAAGGAAATATTGGTAAAATCTGCCCTTTTCACCCTTTGGTCCTGGACATAGAGAATTCACATGTTTATGTCCAGGAGGCAGAATTTCCTATTTTCCTTAAGCAATAAAGATTGTTTCTAAATTGCTGGGGCTGCAGAAAAGCCGGAGTCAAAAGTAACAACTGACAAATTACTCTGGTCTCAGTGTTGTTTAGGAGAGATTCATACAAAGCACAGATTCAAGAAGGAATCAGAATCTTTGCTAAAGGACTTAACCAAGAACCTGGTCTTGAAAAATGATGTCTCTGGTAAGCCTTTGGAAAATGAAGGTAATGAGCCTCACACTATTGCCCAGTAGGCATGAAAATAATATAAGAATCATGTAATTGTCCTCACTGGTTCCAAAAAGGGAACTGCAGTGTGCGCTGTGGGTGTGTGTTGGTTGGGGGTGGGGTTGAGACAGACATAAGAAACAAATACTGGTCCTGGAAAGGCTTTGTTAAACCAATATTTTGTGTTTCCAAGCAGCATGGTAATTAGTGAGGGGTTTTATGATATGTTCAAATGGGACAATTTTAAATGGAGATAGAGCCAATAAAGACAAATTTCAGTGTGAACTTTGGCAATTCTGAAATCAGGCTTATTTGAACATTCTTTCCACCTGAAACTGGAGAAATGTGCAGGGAGAAAGCCAAACAAATAAATTATCCATGATAAAATTTTACCCAAAAGGATTTCACTCATTTAGAAACTTAAACTGGCATCAGGATGTTTGATGATACTTTGAGAGTATATTTTGTATGACACAATGTGAGAAATACGTTATTTCAGTGAGGCCAAGTAGCAAGTAAATCTCTACTGAAGCAGCAGTTATGGGAGCACTTTAGTGTAAATAATTTAAAAGAAATAGAAAGGGAGAAAACAATGGTGGTTGATATGTAGATCGGTGTTCAGACTATTGATAATATTCACTGGATGTCGCTTTTGCTCTTAATTAATTCTGTGTGGATGTAGCTTCCTTGTCCTCTGTCTTGTGTCTACTGATAAAGTCAAGTTCAGGAACTGAATTCCGCCCTCAGATACGGGTGCGCCTGACTCCCATTGATGGCAAGAGAGAGTTCCCTCTTAAATGTGCCACTTTGTCAAATCCACACTACAGGGATTGTTTGGGGAGAAGCTGAAGGGCTTCATCTGTCTAGAACTGTATAATAATCAGCTATTGGCTTCCCCCTCTTTTCCTGTCCTTCCCTGGATCTTGTTAATGAGGCAATTGTTAAACTCAGCTTCCTGGATAGAGAATTTGTTTATGTGCTTTGTTTTATACATGCCACAATTTCCTGAGCAAGCTGGCCGCTGCATGCCAAAACCACAGTCATTTTGTCCTCTCTTTGAGAACACTGGAAGGGTGCTGAAGGTTAACCAGCATTCACCTTACCCCCACCTTACCTCCCCCACCCCCAGTCCAGCTAAGCAGGAGGCTCATTAAGCTTAAATTCTTATCTGATTCGATTAGGATCTTTCGGTTTCAAAAGAGACAAACTAATATAGAGATGGACTGATAAATGTATAAATGATTTAGTTTGTGGAAGAAAATTCAAAATAATAGCATTCTTCAGAGCAGGACCCAGAAGGTTACGTCCTTCAAAAGCACAAGTGTTTTTGAAACTTTTCTGCTGTATTTGTTCAGTAGAGACTAAGTCTGTTTTCCTATAGGATTTTTTTTTACCCAGGTCTTCAGGTTAGTAGTTCTGGACACAGTGAGACTTGTGTTTCATTGACATTAACTATTGCTTTCTCACAAACTCTGCTGTTTTGAGTCATTAGGCAACATGAGACAAAAAAAACAGTTGTGTTTCCTTCTATGCAAGCTTAACCAGAGAATGCAGACAAATGACTAGCAATCTAACATTAGTCTAGAGAGTTTTGAATTTCTGAACTTTGCTGTCTGGTCAAAACGTTTCAGAGTGTCACAGACAAAAAGAAGGATACGATATACAATCAGGATAGAAAGAATTCGGGGCTTTAAAACAAATGCAACCAGGATCATCACAGACAGCATATCTGTGATTGGGGTAAAAACACACAACAGTGTTTATTCAGGAATTTTATTTCAAGCTAGTGTTTGCTAGGCATATACAGTGAAATGTGAAAAACCATTGCTCTCAATTTTTTAAAAAAAGCTTTTTTAAAAAAGTTTTCAGTTACAGCAGGCCAATAATTAAACTCAGAAATTATTGGTTTATTGGTACATAGATTGTCCAATTTTTAGGTGATAGAACGATGCCAGGTATACTGATGCTGTTAAACTGGGCATCAATAGCTTCTAATATAAAAAAGGGAAGAAATTATAGGGAAATACACCTACAAACTATAAATATCAATGAGTGAAAGAAGTTAAATCCTACTGGCATTGTTATTTATTCCTCAAAGTTACCTTTAAAAGAACTTTAAGCTCTTACTGTGAAATAAAAAGGTAAAGTCTCTTCTTTTATAGTAGTTCTCAACCACCTCCATACCTTGATATTTCTCTTGAATCTTTACATATGCACAAAGATATTTATGCTACTCTCAGTGTCAAGGCCTTCCTTCTGACGGCTTCACCAGTGGCAACCCAAAACATTTGTGAAAATGGCAACCCAAAACATTTGTGAAAGCCTTTCTCTGGCTGAGAGATTTTTAAAGGCATTTTAAAAATACATACCTTAGATGGCATTGCAATGGAATGTAAAGTTTAAATGAAAGGCAAAGTATGTTTATTTTCACCTTATTATAAACACTATCAATGGTACTATAGTGTGGATACCTACTATAGTATAGTATTTATTGTATAATAATGTATACTTTACTATTAAAATACTATCTTTACTAAATAATATTATATTATACTAGCTACTATACTCTCAACTTTACTATGCAATAAATAAAACTGATTAAGTTTGGCTAGAGTGAACCATATTTTAACTGATACAGATTTACTGACTATTAAATAGTTGTTAGATGAGAATATCCCCATTAAAGATATTCATGGCATCTAGAATCTGTAAGTGCCTCCAGGGAACAAAGCAGTGCATCATATCTGAAGACCTTCCAGCCTTTGTAAGGATTTGTATACTTGACCCCAGTGTTTGAAGCCAAAAGAAAACAACTACGTTTCCTATACTTACCATTCAAATTTTGTGATAATTCCCATTCAAATTTTGCCTTCTCTAAAGATGCTTGTGGAACCGTGCCTAAAATAAGACAAATGCTCTGTCACAAAATAAAAAAAAAGAAAGAAAAAAATGATGTTTCAAAAGAAAACAGTTCCAAAAGAACTTGATTAGTAGTTGAGATCTGGAAAAAATGAGGCCCAGTTGGACTTGTTCATGCCCAGTTGCAAGAACTCATGGCAACAAGAGCTGGTCCTTTGAAACCAGGCACATCATGCTTAGTTTACAACAGGCAACTCAGAGCCCCACAGCAATAGCGGGGCAGGGGGAGGGAGTACTAAGAATGGGAATTTAAAAAGCACTTCATTGCACTTTCTCTTTCACCATTTAACACACCACTGACCTGGTGGGGCACTTGGTCCAAGAGTTTGTATCAGGGTAGAGAGAGTTCTCTCTACGAGAAGTTGTTCCTTCCACTCTGGAAGGTTTGTTAGGGCAGATGTATTAAACTTAATATTCAAATTCATTTTTGAAAAATATATCACCCTTAAGGAAGCACTTTCCAATTTAAAATTTGTGAGACATATTTAGTCATCAGTTTAGGTGTATTTGGAAGTTTTTGAAAGGAGTTTGCTGAATGCTTTGTGTGTGAATAAAGTCAATAGTCTACTTTTGATGTTAATAACCAGTCAGCTGTTAGTGCTTAATGTAGATGCTAGAAACACATAAAGGTACAGAAATTTAAAGCAAGGACTTATTATTACTGCACAACACTTGCCTCAAGTAAATAAACTTTTCACTTGTTTTCTGGAAATGAGTTGCCGTAGGTCAGTGCACAAATATTTTTTATAATTTTAACTATTAGAGGTATGTTTTTGCTTATGAATATTCTTCATTTTTCTTAGTGCCATATTAAAAGATGCTACAGATTATTTCATTTTTGTGATCCCATTCTGTTTTAGAATATAGTTTGTGGGCTAGGGATTAGAAAACACATACACAAAAAACAATTGCACCTCTCAGCATACACAAACACACACAAATCCCCCGGTTGTGATATGCTTGAAACACCCTATTTGCTATTACAGATACTGATATTTATTGTGGGTACCAAGTATTTTGCA